GAGTGGATTGTGATCTGTCAGGAGCTGTCCCAGATGCAGGATCACCTGCCTGGGGGAGCCTTTCAGCTGCAGGACAGTTGCTGGTGCAGCTCCCATGTGCTCTGCTGGGATCACCCTTGCTGCTCACGCTCGGCAGGGCAGCAAAAGCCAAGGCAGGAAAAACATCTGGTGATTTTTCTCTAGGGAAAACTTGGTGGAAAACCTCATCATTTTGCATCTTACTGCTCCCACTTGGGTTGGAAATCTTGCCAGGAGGCCCTTTGGGATGTGCCAGCCTCTTCTGCAGGGGTGGCTGATGCAGGGGGAGTTGCTGTGAACCACCTGGCCTTTGGCTGATCTTCCTCTCCATGTATTCCATCAGTGCAGTGTGCTGGATTTGTTTCAGCTCTGTCCTGGAGATACTGGAACTGGAAAGTGCCCTTCCTCCGTTCTCCAGACCCCTTCTCCTGCCTGCCACAATATCTTGCTCAGTGATTTCATCCCTAACTTGACTCCAAGATACTTCCTTATCCATTATCTGATCGAGCTTCTCAGGCTCAGAATAGCACAGTTTCTTTTCCTCTTTGGTTACCCTTTTCCTTCCCCCTTCTCGACCTGTTTGTGCTTTCTGTATTTCTCCATCTTTATTGAAACTTTCCAGTGATTCCAGATGAGAAGGGGAGCAAAGAGCAGGTTTGGCATCCTCGTTTGCACTGGACAACGAGAAAGACCGAAGGTGTTCAATTGATGGCCTTTTAGAGGGTTTCTGTCTCAGTCTGACAGGCAAACTCATCTGCAGGTCTTTTCTCTTAAAGGAGGTTTCTTTAAGAACCTTTTTCTGAGCCTCTTTCAGCCTCTCTCTGTAGTCATTCTTGAAGCTCTCCTCTGTGAATGAGGCAGGGCTGCCGAGGGTGAGGTCCTGGCTCTGGAGCAGGAGGTCAGCACTGTCCCCGCGGTGGTGGCTGTGCCCCTGCCACTGAGGGCTTTGCATCTCCACCCGCTGTGCTGAGGTGGCACAGCCCCTGGAAGGGAGTGCCTTCGGTGACCTCCTGGAGTCCCCCTGGCTGTGGGGGAGCTGGTTGGGATGGGGGACATCGCTGGGTTTCCCGCCAGAAAGATAGTAAAGCATGGGAGTCATCTGCCTGGTTATTTGTTCACCAGCACAGCCCTCCCACAGCTGTCCTGAGAGCTTGCTTTGGAGTTTAGGTGGGTGTTTCTGAGCAGGAGGATCCTCTTGTTCCAGACACGTGCTGAGGTCAGGATTGCTGTTATTGGCCTGTTTTCCTTCCTGGGATTCACGTCCTAAGTGAGATGTGGAATCTTTCTTTGGTCTGAGAAAAGCCATGTTGGTATCACAGCACCGCTCCCTTCCCTGATCCAGCCCCTCGTGCTGAGGGTGCTCTGCTCCCACAGCCCCCCAGCTGCAGGGCACTGCTGACCTCTGCACTCTGGCTTGCTGATTCAGGACTGGCTGCCTGACGTCTCTCCCAGTTTTTCCTTCAGAATCATAGCACTGATCTTTGTCTGTACAACTGTTCAGCTTCCTGGAAGCATTTTTAATTAGGAGAGCATTCTCCATATATTTTAAGTCACAGCTGTCCTCAAACACATCCTGATCCACATCTGGATGCCACTGGGCACAGAGCAGGTCCTGAGCACAGGGCAAGGGCCCCTTTCTCTGGCTGGGTCCTGGCACGGTGCTTGGCAGAGTCTCTTCTCTGGCAGTTGGTTTCTGCACCCCACAGGGACACTGTTTGACTTCTTGTGGATCATTAACAGCGTTGGGCTTGGAATGTGCTGGGTGATAGGACCTGGAGTTCCTCTTGTTGGGAATTTTATAAGCATGAACTGAGTTGTAAGCAGAAAGTATTTTGGGTACATTTGCCACAGAGTCTGTCTTTAAATATTCTTGAAAAATGAACGAAGAAGGTCTGCTGAAAACATGTGGATTGCTTCTCTTTGTAGGTTGTTGGGGTGGGTTCCACTCTCCATTTCCCCCTGTCTTTAACCCCTGAATGTTTGATACAAATACCTCATTTGTAGAATCAGAAGAAAGGCCCTTGTTTTCCAGAGTCTTTTCCCCAGCAGGCCGTAGGTCTCGCTCAGTGAGTCCATGCCGGTGTTGACTCCCTGGTGCATCCCTGTGTGCCAGCTGACTGTCCTGCACACCAGGGGCTGGCTGCACCTGCACCTTACACACACTGTGCCCTCCAGAGCTGTGTCCCCCTCTTGAGTGTTCACGGTGCCTGGTGATGCTGGAGCTGTGGAGTCTCGTGGGAGGGGAAGGTGGAGGAGCTGCCAGGGGTGGAGGGCCCTGGTTTGAAGTCCCTGGGGTGGGAGTGGTTCCACAGCGATGGGGGAGGCTGGGGCTGGGGCTGTGAGAGCTGGGAGGGGTGCCCAGCCCTGCTGCCCTGTGTGGCTGCAGGGCTCTGAGCTCAGGGGGTGCAGCACTGAGGTTGTAAATCCCCCTGACGTATTCCGAGTCCATGTAGGGCAAACGGCAACATTCCCCACAGCACGGGCGGGGGGGACACTCTGAGCCCCCTGAGAAAGAGCTGTAGGCAGAGTCTGCTCTTCTGGGGAGCTGCAGGGCATGGTCTGGGCTGCCAATCGCCTTCACTGGCACAAGATGATCATCATTTCCAGGGCACATCACAGGTTCTACCACCTCCCCACTTCTGCCACCTTGCCCGTGAGTCCACCTTTCCATCTCATTCCCAAATGAAGCCATGCTGCAGCATTCCTAGAAATCCAAGGCTGATCAGAAGTCCATAACCGAGTCATTAGAAAAGAACATTTTTCTCTGTAGTCACATTCCAATAACATCTAGAAGGTCCTTAAAAGAAAGAGAAACACAGGAAAAAACTCAGTGGGAGGATTCTCATTGCACTTTTTCACAGACTCATAGAAAGTGCCTTGAGACTCAGAGAGCATCTTGTTGAGACATTCTGACGTCAGTAAAAAGTCACAGCTTTTAAGACAGTCAATATTTATGGCTGCAGCCAGGAACCCCCCTGCAAACACAGCAAACGGACTAGAAAAAAGCACCGGCTCAGAGTTCACCCACAACAAATACACCACTTATACAGAGTCCAGAAAACAGCCTGTGCTCATCAGTAGCACCTGACAGCTCCTCTGAGGGCTGTGCAAGATGCCCCCAGGTTTGCTTTCACAAATGGATCTGCACAAGCAGCCACTCAATGGGCCAACAGAAGACTCACAGGAGATGCTTCCACCAGCAGCGTGACCCCCTGTGAGCAACAACCCCCCTGACACCCCCACAGGCAGTACCAGCCCCTCAGACAGGACTGAGCTGGCACCACACAGGTGCTGGCCAGTGACCTTGGTTAGGAATCCTCACTTAAAACAGCTCTGAAGACTGATTAGTTATTAAATAAAGCAAACAGTCTTGAAAACAAGTTGCTCCAGTGACAGGCCTTCTGAGGAGACACAAACTGTTTCCAGAGCTCTCCAGAATATTACATGTCTGATTTCTTCACAAAGGTTGAACTCACCAGACCCTAATCTGCCATTTCCAATGTCATACTTCTGTGGCAGGGCCTTACAAAGCTGGCAGAAAGAGGTTTTAGGGATGCTGTTGCTCTTTAATCAAAAAACTTCACATTCCTGCCTTGTTTCAAAGACAGGCCTGGTATCATTCATTTTGAGCCAAAGGAAGAGATGGATAGGAGCCAAAATACACAAGTTAATCTATAAATGAAACTTGGACTGGTGAGGCACACTAAATAAATTAACTAGTTTCTGGGAACTGAGAACAGCCTAACACCACACAGTGGGAATTTCTGCTGGGCTCTTTTTTGAAATTTCAGTAAGAAATCACCTCAAGTATGCCTGGAGAAGTTCTCTCCCTCTTTAAAGATCTTCTGAAACACAGCTGTGAAACTTTATTGTGTGTCCCTGAATAACTGGGTCACATAGGAAACATGAAGGATCAGTGGCTGATGATGACACTCCCCACCCTTGTCACCATGGCACATTAAGGACTTTAAAGAAATAAAACCCTTCCATACCTGGTGAAAGGGAACCTTGGGTTTTCTGAAGCCAGAGAGCTAAAAAGAAGTGAATGATTGCCCTGGCATTAGTGCAGACTCAGACTGTGCCACAGCTGCCATCACACTGAGCTCACAGGGCCCCGGGGTCTGTCCCACCTGGGCTGGGAATGCTCAGCAGTACCTGCAGGGACTGGGGATCCAATCCCCTGGGAGCCACATTCCACAGCAGCCCCAGAGGGCAGATTCCTCTGTCATTCTTATCTGCCTCGTTTTAATCAAATTTTTCTCCCAGTGGAACCTCTCCAAGCAGTTCTGTTACTGACAGTGCTATAAATAGAGCCAAGTCTTTGTCTGGGATGTGCTGGCACAGATCCACAGGAGTTAATGGAGCCACCCTGATTTACGGCGAGAATTTGGCTCTAACTTTCCACAGCAATTGTGGAAATAACAGTTGTGGTTTGGTTTATGTCTGCCAGTGAAAGTTCTCTTCTGCTTTCCTATTCCAATGATTCCCAGCATCTCTTTTCCCTCATTGTTTCAATCTCCTGATTGTGATGTACAGTGAATTTGGGAATACAGTGAAGAATCTTTGACTCAGGTGATACCAGAAATAAGAGGAAATAGAATACCTGTATTTTAGAAGACCAAGGTAAGGACCTCTGACACTGAAACACACCTTAGGGAAAACTTGTCATATTTCTTTTGGAGAGGATATTTCCTAAACCCTGGCAGCACAATCACTGATCTCAGTGTGTTTAAGGAACTGTGTGAAAACTGCCTTCTCTTTCCCACACGAGAGAAAAACATTCATGTACTCAAAGCTCACCTGACAGGAACAAGGACATAATTGTTCTCAGCTGGGAGGTGCAGGAGCTCCCTCAGGGACTGCTCTGTCTCTGGGTCTCAGAAACGCTCTGGCAAGGCTGGAATACAACCTGCACATTCCAGACAGGCTTGCAGTATTTTCATTGGAAACCACTGAAAGCAAGAAGAAAAATGTTAAATTAAAGTCTATCAGAACCAAACCCACTGGAAGACAAAGGAAAGTGTATTAACACTTGTGTTGACTTGACTTCCATCCACTGGTTTATTATATTTATATTTACCCCAGAACTGCCCACAGGACCCCACACAGAGCACAGCCTTGTGTGTGAAGCAGTTTGCAAATATAAAGCACACCCTCTCTGCTTTATCATCTGACCAAACAGAGAGATGGGAGAAACACAGAAGAGAAACAGGGTGTCTGCAGGGAATGGGGCCTGCCCGAGGCTTCCCAGCAGGCTGATGGGTGAGGAAGAACAAAACCCAGATGACAGAGGACACTGTGCATGAGGCTGGGCTGACTCTGGGCTGAGATAATGATGTCTTGTCTCAGAACAATATTTGTCCCAAGTTTCCACCATAATAATGATAGGAAAAACAAGATAAAATAGTAGTGGCAAGGCAATGCCAGGAAATCCCCACTGAGCAGCTCATGCTGTACGAGTTCTCAGCTCAGGTACCAGAGCTTGCACTGAAAACACTTCACCCAAACGTCATCAAACAGTCCCCAAGTGTTAAGAGCCAATTTGTGTCCTGCTGAAGACTCCAGTCCCTCACAGACCTCTGTTAAACACAAGTCACTGCATCAACCTCTTCTGTTCTGGGGAAAGGTTTGCATTGCACAACCTTGAATTCTTTGCAACCAACTCAGAAGGTCAAAGCCTCATGTCTTTGGCAAATTAACTGTGGACAGAGAAAAAGCAGGGACTCCAGACTGCAGTCAGTTAACAAGTTACCTGTCTTTTATGGGCAGGATTTCTTCTACCGCAGTTTGGTCTTGTTTGACCTCATTTAGACTGTGCAGGGTGCCAGAATTGATCCATAACTCACCTGAGTTATACAATGCTTGCCCAAACAAACCATCACCCATCAGAAACACAGGTATTCTCTTTATGAAGTCTCTGATTTATCCTCAGCAACCCAGGAAAAACAGCCCCTGGCACCAAACCCACTCCATACTACATTTGTGAGCTTGTGCAGGTCCCTGGAAGTTACCAACACTGTCTTTCTGTCAGAGAAGCAAGAATGAGCATTTTCCTTAATAAACATAAGCAGAGTTCAAACTTTCATAGCTCTCTTTCTGTAGAACTGCCCTTTTTAAACAAATGGCTCCATGAAAATGAAGGGGAAAACCACAGCTATTAATCCAGATCAAACTACAATACTCAACTGTTCTCAAGGAGATGGACAAGTGTGCAAAATGCAAAGCAAACACTGTGACCAGCCTACCAATACTATGTCATGTTCATGCCTGTGAATGACCTGTTCCTTATCAAAGGGTAAACCTCTGATGTAAATATTAGCTGACATTCTTCAGATTCCAATCAGCTGCCCAGGCTGCAGCACCTGACCCATCTGCTCCACAGACCGTGAGATCCAATTGCTACCCAAAGATCATCTGAGAGACTCTTGGTTCAGCAGATGATCCACTGCCTGTCCTGGGGCAGCCTAGAGAAGCCAAAATCCTGGGGAAGTCAGGTACAGGCTCTGGTATCCCAGAAACCTTCAGCAGGTTGATCATGGTTGATGATCTAGCACAGGTTCCCAGATCTCCATCCTGGTCTTCCTGGACAGAACTTGATGCCCATGCAGAACCTGAAAGTCCCTGTTTCTCTCTTAGCTGACTTTTTTTTTTTTTTTAAATAGATATTTTCCCTTTCTTATTTTTTGTCTAGCTTATCATCAAGGATTTTATCCCCTTGGACTTTCAGCTTTAGGTTTCAAACAAGAAGCCAAACATAGCAGATGACATCCCCTTTAGATGATTAGCAGACACATTCTGCTAATCTGTATTTTTCTTCCTAAGGTTTCTGAAGAATCTAAACCCCAAATTCCTCATCCAGTGCAGTTTCCAGAACTCTGATGCAGGTAGCTAATGGCTGCAAGGATACAGTGCATCAGTACCCAAGGATAAAAACTCTCACACTTGGCTTACACAGGCCTGGAGGAAAACAAACCCTGCTGCTGGGAACCAGGGAAAGTCAAAGCGCCAGAGAGTCCCCAAACAGAACCCAAGTGGGATTTAGAGGAGGTTTATGCCTTGTGTGAACAGAAATAAATTTCACCATAGCTTGAGGAACAATTCATTCTCTACTCCTTAAAAACGTACTGAGCAGCTCTTTGCTGAGCTTGGCAAGTTTTAGACTGTGTGCTCTGAACTTCATGAATGACACAGAAACACAGACCCTTCACTGCATTCCCAAAGCCATTCCCATCTCGGGAATAGCTGCAGGGAAAACCTTGGACAGAGAATCCTACCAGGCCTTCCCAGAGCAGAGGGGTGACAGGGTCAGTCTGGCTCACCCAGAAACAGGAGCAGGACCCAGCTCTCTCATGTTCTCACCACTTCTCCTAACTACAAATTGATTTTTCTAATTCCTTACTACCCTCAGTAAATCCTGTAACTTTTCCATTCTTTCAAAGCACATTCCCAGTCTAAATTATCATTAGCAAACAATACTTCCATTTTCTTCTATAGAAATTAAGGATTATGAAGTCAATTAATTACCTGGTATTTTAAAAAATCCATTAGGTCTTTAACTTTTGTATTTTGACATAAGAAACAGAAACTATTCCTTACCAGAGGATGTCTGTTTTCAGTCTAATTCATCCAGATGTTAACCATAATTGTGCCTGCCTTTGGGCTGGGGCAGACAGTAATGTCATATCCAGTTACTACAGAACATTCCACTGGAACAAGAGAAAACCACCAAATATACA